TTGGTTTAACAGCATCAGGGTAATCAGAAGGCTTTCTTTACAAACCTTCCAAAAATTGTCATGACGCAGGGGATGCTGTCACCTCAGAAACGGAAACTTAGAATTTAAAATGAAATGGCTGGGATGGAGCTTGAGCATGAAGGTACTTGAGATAGGCAAACAAAGAGAAAACAGGAAATAAGACCCTTTATATTATAACAAGGAATAGCAGGGTTTTATTTCCTGTTGTTGGGGACCTGCCTGAACATGCAAAGTGTTTTTGTCTTTTGTCTTGTCTGCACATTTACTACCATTACAACTGAAGCTGGGTCTGAGCAGGGGGTCCTCTGTCATGGGGTGTGTGAAGACCAGGACTTGATAGACATCATTCTTCCTGAACAAGGGCTGGGAGGAGCTTGTACTCACCTGGATGTTCTCCGTTTGGGGTTTTGGAGTCTCAGATTCCAAGGAATCTCTTGCGTGTCCTGCTGCCACCTAAAATTCAACATGTCAGAAATTGGCTAAGTATTTTCCCTCCAGGCTTCCCACTTCTTTTCATCATTTTTCCAACTTCCCTCGTTTTTGCACTTTGCGTGTAACCCTGGAGTCGCCTCGGCTTCTCCCTTGGGGCCCTCACTGCTCTTACTACTCCCTCCCAGAGCATTCACCATGATCTGTCTTGGTCTGACGTTCTGTCCACTGCCACAGGAACAGCCCACCCATTTTTCTCCAACAACCACCACCCCACACCACCAGTTCTAAATGTTTGTTCCTAAATGTGCAGAAACCTCATCATAACCCTGAGGATATCAATGTGCAGAGAGAGGCCCTTAGCTATCGTTATCTGTTTGGTGCAGTTCCAGAGACTGTACATGCAGAAGGGCACTGGCCTTGTCTCATGTAAATCACCATCTTTCACAGAAAGCAGCAAGGCAGAGAACATGGGGTAAAAGGGGAAAAGAAAGGGATGAAATGAAGAAAATAAGTTGGTTCATTATTTGAGTTGGATTTCTGCATAACCATCTTTTCATTTGCCAGGAGTTGGAAGTATGAAGAGAAAGAAACTAACAATTAGACACTGCTTTCTATATGCCAGTCATTTTATGTGTTATATTTCAGTTAATCCCAGGATAAATCCACAAGGTGGGTATTATCATCCTACTTTTTACCAATGAGGAAACTGAGGCCAAAAACATTAGGCAACTCATCTCAGGATTCACAACCAGTAAGAGGGAGAGGCTGGATTTGCTTCTGGCAGATCCCTTCCTCTGTGACTGTGAGCTCCTCTCAGAAGGGATAGGTGCCATTCTACCCTAGCAGGGGAATTTATCCGGATTTTGTATGAAATTTGATCTGGAGAGACATGGTTGGGAGTATGCTGATTGAGTGATAACTGGGTGGTAGGGGTGAAGTGAAAAATCAGAGCCCAGCATATGTGAAACTTTTGAATATATTAAGGGAGACATTTTTAATCAGTACAGAAATGAAGATGCTGGGCCAATTAATCAACTATTTGGGAAAAAAA